ACCGTCGATTAAGGATCTCTCGAAAGGTACAGAAAGTCGAACGTCGAAGATTGTTACGAAGGGACAGTCGTTGGTTGACAGGACCCGTTCCAACCGAATCGAAAGACCCAATCTGCTCGAAAGTGTCCGAATACAAAAAAAAGAGCAAAAGATTCTCTCTGTTTGCTTGTCGCTCGAACGATAGTGCGTATTCCAAAGATAGGATGATCGATAGTACGAGATTGTTTCTCAGATATAGTAAATCCGAGATGAGATGTTAATCGTTGGTGTTCTATTAATCTTTAAAGAAAGGTTCCTAAAAAAGCTTGAAATTAGAATATCTCGTAAATATAATTTAATTATTTTTTCCTTACAGTGCCAATATCATTTTCATTCAATTTTTAAAGCAAGTAGCAACAAACTCCAATTTCGTACCGCATTAATATTCAAACATATTTTATCAACGTGTTTCTCTAAATGTTTTTGAAAACATATTCGCAAAAGTGTAGATTAGATAGCAGATGATTTAAAGCAACTGTCGTCATCTGCACAAAGTATGTTTAACGATCGTACTCTGTACTATATGTTTATGATCATCCAGTGTGATACGATTAATGCAAAAAAAAATGAAACTACAGATGAGCATCGATAGTACGAAACATTGTCGCACCTTTCGAAAAAGAAGGTAGCGAGAAGGCAATATTTGGCCAGCAAGGTGACAGGCCAGCAACGTAGGTACGTTCGTTGACGAAAAACAAAAGTTGCGGGGTATCGCATGCGAGATAAATTTTACGAGAGCTGCACGACTGTCGCCGTATGTACTGGTATATTTACCTCGTTCATAACACACGGCGCATAGTTCCTCGAGGCCGTGTATCGCGATCGGTTAGCCTGGCCGAGATAGAATCTTTTATAACCACTGCGAGGAGGAACGTGTTTATATCCGCGAGCGATTGCGACACGATATGTTAATGCCCCGAGCCGTGCTCTTCCCACGTATCGGCGGCGTGCGCGTTTTCAGCCCGTCCTGGAAAACATTCCGGACTGACACACGTGACGTCTCCATCGAAGCTTTCATGAAAGTGTCGCTGAACGATGGATGAGGCGACATAAATGTCGTGTAGCGGTGAACATTTAAAAAACGAATGTCAAATGTATCGCTCACATTCTGATTTTTATTGTATATATGTCCATTGATTTAGAATAAATGTAATACACTAGGGGGAGAGAGTTTGTATCTCTCCTAAGTGATATTTCCTCCTGCGACACCGCGGTTTAAAATCGAGCTCGTAACTTTTTCCAAATATGTTGTTTTTCTAACAGAACATGAACGAAATTCGGAAATTTTATCAGCTATCGTCAAAGTAACTATTAGCGCCGACAATTTCTCGTATAATACGAATATATCGTCGGAGAGTTTAGAGAGCATGAAAACCTACCGCGAGATTGTCGTTTAACGAATGATGAAATACAAATTAAGCTCACTGATGATGTCGTTGTCAGTCATCGCGGCGAGACGGGAGGCGAATAAAAAAAAAGAACGTTTATGATGATATCTCGCGGCAAACAAGCTGGCACGTTAATGAGAACCTACAGGGTGAAGAAAGGAACGAAAAGAACCGCGAATAGACCGAAAAGAGGAAGGAAAACGAACCGAGCAAATACCGCGTCGTAGATGACAACCCCGGATGTGTCGATAGCATCTCGACATTAAGTAACCAGCCAACGCAAGTAACTCGCGTTGTATGTACGAGTAAGGAAGTCTACATGCATCAATACTCGCCATTTACGGAGGGGTGAAGCTCCTAAAGAGGGTTGAGCAAAACAATTGTCTATATTGTCGCGAGATGTTGCACATAGATGAGCATCAACATTATTATTTAATACTTCAAGATTGCAGCTCTTTACTATTACATTTGATAATTGATTATCTTGTAAAAAGTTTACAAATTTCACAACATACTACATTGCCGCCAATTTTTTCATGATTTAGCTTTGTTTCAATTTAGTCTGCATCATTAAATTTATCAATAAGTATTGGAACAAAAGTCACAGTACTTGGAAAATAGTTTGTAACTTCAGATTCGTGGTGGTTTAAAAATCAACGAGAGAATAACGTCGTCTTATTTATCAGGAATAAATCGATTGGTTATAACAACATTTAACGACATTTTAGAGCGCATTTACGCGACGCGAGACGGCGATGTAAGCGATTATTCGTTGCGATTGTTAATGTATTCAACACTCGTATCGTTTCCTCGCTTCTCGAAGTCTGTGGACGTGCTTTCGCGTTAATGACGTACACGTACATGTAGCGTTGCGATTAGAAAGAGATACGAGATACGCGACGCGACATAATGGATAGCAATGCATCGCTAGTTGTTCCAATTTTTGTAAACGTACAATTAAAAATCACGCGTATACATATGATATCGATAACGAAAATATTGCGTCGCGCGCACGAGATCTAATAATCTAATCCAATCTGATAATAATTCAATCGATAATAATTAATCGATAATTATAAATGTCACCGGCCAGTCTTATCATACAACTGTAATTTATGTTGACAAGCTTGATTTGCCTAAGCTCGATGGTGTTTCCGCGAATCTAATGTATGTCAATTAAGTTCTTTTAGCACCTCTAATCGATTACATGTTATTAAACGAAACATATACATTCGCACTCACATATTCATCACTTCCGCGCGCGTTCTCCCGTTTTATAATAACGGACAATTTGCATTTCCCGAGGCGTCGCTCGACGAGTGCGTGGATTAAAGTAGCCTATCGAATCGCGCTTACGTAAGAAAACCGAACGACGGGACAGGCGGACGTTCTCCAAACGCGCGAGATACGTTCTCCGCCGCGCCGTATCGTCGTTCGGTGAAAGCGCCGATTGCGGATTATCATGTTCCTGTCGCTGCGCAGGAGAGCCATCAATTTTTTTCCCTCTCTCGCGATCTCGCGTGCGTCAACGGTTGCGCTTTCTATAGTGGCCACGTGCGAAACTCTCGGGTTCTACGCGCTCTCACGACAGATCTCGCGCGCGGAGATTGATATCTGGTCACGAACTAGCTGTAGCCCGTGCGCGCGATACACGCACGCTCAATTCGTGGATATTAAATCTGAAGATGACTTAACATTGTCGGACGTGTGCTATATACGAGAGAGCGAGGAAAATTTTTATCTTCAAAGAACTTTTCAGCCAGTAGGAAGACACACATATGACATATTAGGGATAATATTATTCGTTTCTCTTACAAAAGTTGTTCTCTTGTACTCCTAAATTTGTATAATTAAACGTTTAGAAATATTTGTAAATATTATCGGCACGCGAAATTTCCATTAGGCGATAGCATTACCTCGAGAATGAGAATTGGCCAACGTTATTTTGTAATTTGGAAGCAGCAGGAAGATTATCCTACTTTTAGTATCTTTTCGTTCCGAAAGTAACGACGTAACAACGATAGCAATCTAATGATTATACGTACAATTTTACAATTTCAAACCTTGGAAACAATATTGCTTTCTAAAAACATTAATTTGAACCACTTATGTGCCAATTATAGGATATGTGATATGTAATAGATAAATAGGCCGTTCACCTTGCAAAAGCAAGAGTTGTAAACTTGTATACGACTAACAATAAGTGCTTGGTGAAATTAAAAGGACGGTGGGCACGCGTGCTGAAAGAAACTCGCGCGAGACTCTCGTCAACATTTTTCCGCGACAAATCTCGCACAGCAGATTCGTATCTCGTCACGAAATGGCCGTTGCACGCGCTCCATTTGCATCGTCGAATATTATAGCAACAACGAAGATGCAACGAGACTGCTTTTTAATTTGAGCGTTACGCGCTCCACCATTTCAGAAGCCACCATTCATTATTTTCTCCTCTCTCTCTCTCTCTCTCCCTTTCTCCGATTATCAGCGGTCATCGGTTTCATCTTCTCGCCCAGTCCTTCGTTTGGCGTAGCCCGCGCTTATGTGCTTATGATTGTTATTGATCAACCGTTTTGTTTCTCGCCCGTGTGCACGTATATACATATGTGCGTGCCCGGCCAAACTGGCACGCCACGCGGCACTATAATGTTGGCACGACAGAACGAATATAGAGAACGGCGGACCTTAATGAATCTTTATGGGATGATGTCGTGAACTTGTATACCCTCCGGTGACTGACTGAACCCGGTCGCGTTAACCATTGGCGCGGTTCGTTCGACGCTACCGAACTTTTCCTTCGGTACTGTCGACAAACATTCTCGTTACTGTACGCTAACGGTAGAATAAATCGTAGAAAATGTAGAAAAATACATTTTTCATCACCACATCACAGTATAAGGGCAACAAGCGATGAAATGCCTTTCCGCAACGAAATATTCACATAAACAATGAGACTAAAAAAGTGATCTTATATCGTGCCAGTGTAGATTTGAAAGAAAAAATTTCTTGCTCAAAGAGATGAAACATAATAATTTGTTGTGCAATAATATTCTCGTTGACTACGCCAATGCGACAAACTGCTCATTAGACTCGACGGTGGCTTCGCCGCGAGTTTGATGGTGTCGACGCTCGCGTCCGTGTTCGTAAAATTTGAAGGGCGTGTAGAAGGGGTTCGTGGGGTCCCGACTAGCCGCGCGTCTTGATTGTCATCAACTCGTTGCTCGTCGCGTGATATTGTCATTAGCCCGCCTAGCCGTCGTCACCCGCGCGAGTCGTGCCTGGACATGCGTTTCTCACCCCGCGCGCGGAAGAGACCTACTTTAAGTTCTATCGATCCGTCACGACTAATCGATCCGAAAATTCTTGATAGCTCATCACCTACGCGCTTTTATGACCTGCGGATATTTATAACCCACGCCGCGTGCGCGACGCGACCTTTACAACAATGAATTATTCAGAGACAAATAACTACATATTATTCATTGTTGAAAAATAAATTACAAATGACATGTGACACAAATAAAAATTATTATTTTGTTAAATTATATCATTTTTCTTTACAATAAGCAAACTCACCTGGGTCCGAGGAGTCCAAACTGGCTGGCGCTTGCTGGCTGAGGGGTCCGGGTGTACCACCACTCCCGGGGCTGCGGGCGTCATCGTTAGCACCCGCGCCAGGATACGAGAGCGACGAGGAAGGCGGCCTCTGTAATGCAAAAAAAATTACAAATTAACTTTATAATTTTTCAATCGTTATTATATTTTCTCATTCGCATTTTTACATCTATACGTTTGTAAATACTAATTCTGCAGATTTCTCGCATTTTATTTTGCTCTTATACTCCTTCTTAACTATTAATCAATATTAACTACATGCGTCACATCGATATCAATTTTACCTAAAAGATTTTAAAAATACGAAATTTTTAAAATCGACCACCGGTGCAGATCTAAAATATCAGTTGCAAAATAGAATAATATCACTTTTATACATATATTATTTTTGCTCTTGATAGTTTCGTTTCATGTAAATAAAAGTTTTTAGCGTGTGAAGTGCATGTCACGCTAACGTGCGTCGGGAATTTTTTCGTTGTCTATACGCTGAACACGTCCGTGTAAGACACGTATCTTCTTTTTAATCACAGACATTACATAATAATGAATTTCATGTCAAATCAACGTGATTGATTTGATTGAACATTTGACTTTTTGAATAAGGCAAAATTAAAATTAATAGACATTTACAACGTTTACTGTTTTAATGTACCTACTCTGGGAAAATAATGTTAATTTCACATGATTCCCTGAAATATGTAATATTCATCGAATTAACGTAGGATGCGACTTTTAAACAGTTTATATTATCGAGTATTCCAAAACGAGGCATCGTAAAATAGAACGTCTCGTCATTAACAGTTCATTTTTAATGATTTTATTTAATATAGATATTTATTCTAAACTCTGATTCTTAAAAAAAAAACTTTCGCGACTTTTCGTATACACCCTATACACGGACCATTGATCGTCGGGCGCGCGTCAGACCGATTTCGATCTCGATTAAAGACGGAGCACACGTATCTCTCAACGAAAATGCTGCCGGCATACCTAAATGATTCGGGGGAGCCCGACAGGACGCGCACGACTTACGAATCAACGGATTTACTGGAAGAAGCCGCGCGCGCGACGAATGTCTGCCGTAAATATTCAATCGTTTATTCCGTAGGTGTAGCCGTGTGATAATGACGCTCGTAGAGAATCTCCCATCGTAGGAGGAAAGAAACGAGACGTCTGCGAATCCGCGTCGGGACACGCGCGGAATTACTTTCACGTGTAAAATTCAAGTTTGTTTTATGAATCAGTTCGACGGCAACGCACGAAGTATCGTACATAAATGTGTGAACGTAGTTAATTTTAAATATAAATGAGCGAAACTAACGAGATAATGTGACAAATTATTGATGTATGTGCATGAATGAAATTTTCGTAGATTAGTGAAGAAAATAAAAAACCGTAATGAGTTCGTCAACTTTCTCCCTTGGCGCGAATTACTTGGCAGTACACAAATAACAAATCGTAGATCATTCTATCTAAGGCAATTCGTTGCTTCTCGCTAACGTATTCTGAAGTGTTATTACAGCCACGAGATGAGCGGGAGATAGAAGTATTCAATGAATGATTCTTCATAACGTTCGTACACGATGAACGAATGGACTCTTCAGGGTCACTGACTTTATTTTTCAAGCAGATTTGAGCACAAATTTTTCCTTGCTCGAAAATAATATATACTAATAGCGATTACTTTGAAAGTAACTTTCTGTACTTTTATAAGACATGTCAAAAAAAAAAAAACGGTGTGTTTGACAGTTTATTGATCTCGTCCCGAGGTTGAAGGGCAAGAATGTGAAGCAGGCGAATCTCTCGATATCACGAAGCGAAATGTCTGGGTATATCAAGTCTGGCCAGGCAACAATGAGTGACAGCTACTCCCACATGCTGTCATAAGCGTCATCTTCGCGATAATATACCGACTCGCTCCCTCCCTCGATTGCCTGCTCTGGTATCTCGTCTGAAATCGTTACGCGGTCAATTCTAGAGGACCTGCTAGAGCAGAGACGCGTCAGACGTGAATTTATTGGTTTGCAGAAGCCAACAGGAGTGAACTTTAGAAAAAATTTATGCGAAATACATATAACAAATGATAAATAAGCCACAAAAACATTTATATAGTATATATTGTTAGAGATGTTCTCTTGTAGATAAGAATACAAAATAACAGCCACGACTAAAAAAAGTAATGTACAATATTTGATAAGATAAAGATGTCTTCACAGAGAGATTCACATGAAATAATTAAACAAATTTTCTTGTCAGAAAATCTCAGGCAATAACACAATGGGCATGAAATGAGAGACGTCACTCTTTGATTTGATTAATTACTCATGATCCTTGAACGGCTATTTGCTCAGGGATGCCGATAGATTGCATGAGCAAGTAAATACGAGAGTGGTAACGAGTAAGGGGACATTAATAATGCATCGGTCGTCGCCGGACCGCTTCCTACTAGCACCTAACGCAAAACGAGGAATCATGGTTGTCAAAGCGGATAATCTTCAGATCGTGCTTACAATAATTGTGTGGCCGAGCGATATCATATCATATATATAAAAATTATCTCGAAAAAGGTTTAATTAAACTAAAAATTATTCGATAACCGCTGGAATTTTTAAGCAATTTCTCAGATATTAAACATCGTAAAATTTTGTACTGAGATCGTGATATGATTATACTGCAATTAACGATAATTATTGAAGAATCTGAGATGAATATTCTTATCAAATTATCATCATCCAGTCGACAAACTTTGGTCGTACGATGAAAGCTGTGTAGTAAAGCTGTTTACGTCGCGTTTAGAAAGAGAGAGAGAGAGAGACATGGCTCACGGTATACCTCCAAAGCTGACGTCACTTCCTACTAAAGGCTGAATCGCCGTTTTTTAAGTGGCCAGTAGGGTCCACCGCGTGACTCGTGTCGATGCAATGATAAACGGTTAACGGGTCGACGAGCTACGCGCTCTCGTTCCACGTCGTTGCTTCTCGCTCGCACGTTCGTCCTGCCGTCCGTCTCCGTTTGTATCTGCCAGTCCGTCTACTATAGGCACTCTTAAAGTGTAATTCGACAAACCGGATGTCTGGCCTGCCCCTTAAATAAATCAGTTGCCCGCATCTCATATTCCACCCCCGCTCGTTTATACCGTACGTTTCCTTCCCGTTGAGGAAAAATGTCTGCTCAGAATCACGAGAATGCGTCCTTGAGAGGAAGTAATAGTCATCGAGGAACCCCTCGAAAGAGCGATCTGGGAAATCTACGCGAATGAGGAAAAGTGAAATCTCGAAGACCGAGTAGAAGCATTAGGTAATATCGGTCTGCGTTCTGATGCATTCCCGTATTGTGAAAGCCATCATTATGATATGAAATGTCTCATGGAATATGTAATATCCCATACAAAACGTACAAGTGCAAGTGCGAACGATATTGGAATTTGGAATCGCTTGTGATATTCACCGTAAAACATATAACTGACACGCGTTCACTGTCATCCTTATGGACGATAAATTATGATCACTTATCGAAGTGGCATATACATCGTATATGTATTTGGTGATTTGAAGCATAACACTTTGCGCGAAATCGCCGGAATGAGATCGCGAGGAAACGTAACTTATTATCGCGAATCGCAAATCGCGCTTTCGAATCATTGTACGTACGTATTAATTGACCGTCGTAACATAATGCTATATAATTATGTAATTAGAGGCCAAGCATTAGTCTCGCTGACTGGTTTACGGGCGAGATACGTAAATCTCTGCAATTAATTTATTGGTGCTCAAGAGCTCGAGAGAGGAAGCTAAGAGAACAAGACATAAACGAGGCGGATGGGTGCGATAAAGACGGAGAAACTAGCGGATCCAAGTCGGAGAGAGGGACAGAGTTGGGAGACTGGACAGAGACGCCGATAGATTATGGAGGTAAGGCAGCACATTGTAAGTATGCCCATCGACTGGACCCAGATCAAGAGTCTTTGCCTTCTTAGTCGTTCCGCAGAGCGGGATAAGAGTGGATAGAAACGAAAACGAAAGAGAGAGAGAGAAAGCAGGTAAAAAAGAAACAGAGAGATAAATTCAAAAGAAAGAGACGGATGAGAGAAAGAGAATTCTAGTCTCTGTCTGTGTAGTCTTGAATTTCTCGACGATACCGGCGGGCGTATATAGGGATCATAAATTACGATTTATTGCAGTGGCAGCGCCTTCGCTCGGCGGATTATCTTACCGTTATGTCAGCACGCTACAATTATATTTACATTTCCTTCGTAATGGAATATCATGCCAGCATCGTAACCGTCCAACCGCGAACTAATCGAGACATATCCGAGATGGATTTTCAAAGTAACCGAGCTACCTGCCACAGAAATTGACTTAATGATTGCCCTTAAAGCATCCTCGAAAGAAAAATCGACAAACTGTCTAAATGTTCAAATTGATATAAAATCACCATGATAATTCCATCGTCATTTTCATCTCGGAAATAACGTAACACATACACTTGACTCAAGTGAAAAGCATGAGTACTCGAATAAGTTTGAACAGAAAAGATTATCTCCTTCCATCTATTATATTTAGATTAAAAGCATAAACATTTTTCGTAACGGATTTATGGTGCAAAGGAGTACAAAAACGCGCTGTAGGTGGGACTTTAGAGGCCGTACTAACCACACATAGCCACAAGATTCGAGCGATTAAATGGCCACGAGTTTAGACCTTAACAAGGTGTACACCTGACCGGGGAATGATTTTAAAACGGTCGTATAAACGAAACAAATTTATGACTGTTGAGATGAGGAGAGAGGTGAGAGGGAAGAGTGAGAACGAGACGGGCAACAGCCTGTTTTGGAGCTCCGGCCAGTGTCCATCTCCTTTCACGGGATGAACGCACGAGTGACGTGTTATAGGTACAACACGAGGAGGAGAAGACGATCGGCCAGTCATAAATATGGAATCCGGGTATTTGGCGCGTTGTCAATAAAACGAAATCCAGATTCGTGCTGTTGCTTTTACGACTCCTACTGCATCCATCGTTTTTGGCTGCTGCCACAGCGACGCGTTATCGGAAACACGTTCGCCACGAAAACGAGTTTCGGTTCCAGAATCA